GGGGTCTCGTTTTCCCTTTTTCTATCATTTTCTCCCTCAAAACGTCCCTCGGGATTAATTCCCTCGGTCGTCGGGGAAACGTCGAAGCGTGTCAACGAATTGGCGGTGCATCGGGGAGGGTAGAAAAAAAATAAAAGGGGATTACAAAAAATGGTGCACGCACGTGGACTTCCTCGCCGACCGCCATATAACGATGAAAGGCTCGACTCGTAATTGGATCGAGGAAGCCCCGTCAGCTAATGATACTCTTTCTGTGTCAGCAACTGGGTGAGAATCTCTCCCAGTTATTGACTGCCGATAAAAATCGAGACGATGGTTTCACGAGACATGGGAGTGGCGAAATAGGAAGGGTGAAAAGGGGGAAGGAAGTCCGTTAAAACGCGTTCCGTCGCCGATGATCGATGCCCCGTTAAACATTTTTTATTTTCATGCGGTCTAACTATACGATGTCGTACCAAAATCTTATCTTTCGGGAATATTGGCGTGGAGCTGCAACTCGTTGCAGGAAAAGTCGAAAGTCAGCCCGAAGAAGCTGCAGTCGGGCTTAGCGGACGGTATAATCCGTCGTCGTTAACTTTTTCCGCACACTCGGCCGCCGATTTGCAAGAAACCTCCTCGAGGAGCGAAAAGGCCCCCCGCAAAGTTTACGGGAAAACGGCGCGATGATGCAAGATCTTACATAACCGTCGAGCTACTTTTCGTAATCCCGCAATTTTGCTGCGATTTTCCTTTTTTTTTAATTTTTTTTTCTAAACTCGGAAACGCAATTCAGTCACAAATGTAAAAAAGAGCGGCGATACGTTCTTTTCCGTTTAGGCGACGATACGATTTTAATCGGGCACCATTTCATGGGGGATTGTTTTCAGGATGAATCATTGTGTTTTGAAAGCCAGAGCAGGACGCGAGATATTAGCGAGGGAAGGAGAAAACGGCTCGAGCGAGGTCGGCTCGAAGAAGATATTTTGGTCCATGGCCGGCCATCGGACACGCTCCGAGCACGTTTCCTTGCGAAATCGAAATTGTTTATTGATCGTTTGTGTGTTTCAACCGTGCATTGATATCGCTGACGTGACGGTGGGTCGAAAAGTAATTCATCTCTAGGTAAATCGACTCTTTTCTTCGGTCGCGAGGCGTGAGAATCGAAGATTACTGCCCTCGCGAATCAGTCTTCGGGAATTCATTTAACGGTAGACATTTCGCATTCGAAACGGAAATTTCGCGGTTAAAATAGAATATTTCCTAATTCATCGTAAGCAGGAGATTTTTCGAAAGTGCGGCAGCGAGATCCTGACTTATTACCGCAATTGCAAAACATGCCTCGCGGAAACGTCCAAAAAAAAGTGCACGAGAAACGTTTCAAGGAGGTCATGCACGGCCTTTAATAACACGTGCTCCTTTCTGCGGGGCACATCTCCATATTGCGTGCGCGAAGTGAAACGAAAAGATCAGGTTTCTTGTTGCTCGGGAAGCACAAAGCGCGATGAATTTTAAATGGCATCGATATATGCCTCCTGCATTATTTCCATATTATCCTGTATTAGTGGGAATACTTATCGAATACCCCCTCGGGTGTCAAATTTTCGTAGGGATATTTTAACCGTGCGATCTTACCCCGCGAAAAGAAACGTTCATTGAACCAAAGATATATTTTATTAATTCAAAGAATAATTATTTGGCTCAAATAGACGCAAGGAAATTGCCATCATTTAGAAGAGACGTCGCATTCGATTCATTCGAATTTATCCGAAGCAAATAATTATTCTTTGAATTAACGAAATATTTCTCCGGTATAATGAACATTTCTTCTTAGTGTAGGAATACTCTCGAGGCATCTCACCGAAAGAAGCCCATCTAACGATCGTCTAATTACGAGGGTATTTAAATAGCTCGACGTGCACGATACATCATAGGATGTCCCGAGGTCGTTGCACCGATATTTAAGTTGCAATTGTACGTGGATGGGTATTTAAACGTTCGATTACCGAGTCGCCATCAAAACTGGTGACTTTATTCCTTCAATGAAAAAAAAAATTATCGTCATTTATTATTGGTTTTTGTCATTTTTAATGATCGTTCAAAAGCCATCGTTCGCTCCGAGAAAATCGTTTCTCTGGAACACCCACCGTTTCCTTGAAAAAGACAAAAAGCTGCAACGGAAGAACACGGCCAAGTACACCGCGAGATCGAAGTTATTACCATGAATATAATGTCGAGGGAGAAAAAGAGACGACAAAAACGAGAGGCAAAGAATAATGACGCGTAATCGGCCGATTAAAATTACGAGGCAGCCGCGAGCGTCGAATCGATCGATTAAATACGATCTCGAATTAATTTTCCGTCCTCGAGGAGAGTTACCTCGCCTAATTGCCTCCGAACATCCCGAAATTTTTGCGACGACTTCCCGATACATTTTATTCTACAGCCCGACATCTTTGCGATACTAATACATTTTATTTGTAATCGGAGACTTTTCCTACGAATTTCTATTACGAACGTTTATACCTCCGGCATAATCGAATTTAATCCGACCGAATAAAGAGTCTGGAGGATAAACCGCACATTTATTCCAGAGCAGTTTTAATTGAAAAATTGAATTATTCCTCGCTGATCCGAGTTACGTACAGTCGAGGTTTACGCGATTTTATTAAAAAAGCAATTTATATCGTATCTGGGACGCTCGTTCGCTTTTGGCCTTTCTCGATGTGAATCGGAATTTAAGTCTGGAGGCAGGATTTTTCAAAAAGTTTCTTTGACGTCCACTCGCAAAAGTTTCCGGCATACGTCAAGGTTGGTGGGATGGAAAAGTTCGTCTGGATTTTTCTCACGGGGAAATAGTTCCTTTGTTATCTCGGGTATTCAGGACTCCCCCTGGTACGCGTTAAAGGTGCTCCAAGAATTTCCAAGTCCATGAATGCAAGTTTATGAATTTTCCTTCTTGCCGAGGGGTCGCGCCGTTCCTCGTGAACCGAAACTAATCTCTTTCGGAAATCCTTAATCGCCGTTTCGCTCGTCGACCTTGGAATTGAATCGAGTACAATTAGCGCTGGAAATTTACCCGAGCACTTTGGGTGTCGCAAAGTGTTTTCGAGAGACGCGGGCAGGAGACGAGATAAGCGAGGTGTCAAGTATGCCCGCCATTAACGGTGGGTCTGGAACGAGTCCGTATTTTCCCCGAGATAACGTGCGACCAAAAGCCCCGAAGGAAAACCTCCTTTCATCCCCGAGATAAACCATGAAATAAAATTAAAAGAACTAACAAATTATACGATTTTTAAATCAATTTTTCACCTTGCGGTTTACTCCGTCATTTTTCCCGCGTTCCATTTTTGACACCCGGAGAAATTCTGAAAATTCGGTTAAAAATCGTTCGTCACCGTCGTCACGGTCGGGTCGTCACGAGAAAATCAGACGGAGGGCGTCTCTGGTTTCAAGGAGAGGCCGTGGGACAAATAATGCCTCGAGTTGAACGAACTACTTCATAGACGGGTCGTTACCGCTCGTATGGCCCGACATCGGGAACAATCCTATATATTATAATGCCATTTAACTGTCGCTCGTGTCCGCACACCGTTCTCGGTCCCGGGAACGGTAAATTGCGTCTCGCGTAGGGGAAAGGCGGTTCCCCGATCTCCCATTCGTTGTCAAGGCTGGGAACTATTCACCATTTTGAATGGCAATGCGTGTCCGAATTACTTTTGCGCGTGCTTCGTCTACGGATTCATTTGCCTGATTTTTTTTTTTTCATTTTTTACGAGATTCGTCAAATAGGGAACACTTGAATTTTTTCAGGCCTTATATTTTTCCGAGATATCGAGTCGACTTCTGATCGTAACTTTTGTGTACGCCTCGACTCGATATCGATTTTACTTGTAAGTCGATTTCACGGGAAGACTCGAACGTGTCACCGGGAATGCATCGGGAATGCAGTGATACGACCCTTGTGGTACGACATGTACGAATGGACGATTCAATTGAGGTTTATGCGGTATCGGATATTCTCGGTCGCGAGTGGTTAAGTCACGCGGTGAAAAGATGGCTTTATAGGGTGTTATTTATCGATCGTATTAAAGATCGATGGCCATTTGGCGATCGATATCGCGATCGATACGGGAAACGTCGCGGTTTGATCCTCAAATATCGGTATAACGATACTCGTCGATCGGTGCGGTAGCACCGATACCCTCAGAAAAAAGTTTCATTGATCCAAATGAATAAAATATTTCCGATTAGGTCGAAGCCGATCATCAATATCTATTTATTTACCAATTTTCACGTAATTCCCCGATGCCGATGCGGAATAAAAGTTTGCAATGTTAAAAAAGTCCGATCGAACGAGTGGAGCATCGTTCGGTTGAAAACACCCTCCCATTGTTTACCGACTCATAATTAATATTTTGACGCATGACACATAAGTCAGGGTATGGTCTACAAGAGAGCAAGCTTGTCCAACCTGCAATCGTTGAATGTTATTAAATCGCGATATACGTCGGTATTTAATAACGATAAAAAATATTTAAAAGTTGTAGACGTACCTTTACGTCACTAATTGTAGGTAGGCGTGTTAATTCGTCTTAGACTTGAACAATTGCGTTTATGACAAAATATAAGGAGAGTTTTTAGGATCGTAGGACTTTTGAGGACTCAATCGCTGAATTCTATTTCTGTCCAAAGACGGTAGTCACGAGTTTACGCGATCGCGAACAACAACGCGATTGAACTATGCCACTTCATCTACGATTCGAATGCACTATGCAATTCTTGGGTGCACTTTAAATTGAAGTCCAGGCAATGCCAATTGATCGGTCAAATGAACTGTCCGATTTGTCAAGGACAAAGTGCAAGTCGATCATTTTTCGAAGCGACATTTATCCTCGTTGGATCGGGCAAGGCTCGTCTAGGAGACCTCGTTCTCGCAAATTGGGTCGACGTTGTTTTTCGACGTTTTCAGCGAAGGAGCGACTTTGCGGGGTGCTCAAGACCGCGTTTTCGTTTGTTTTCAGGTTCAAGAACTGTTCAACGCGATGAAGGAGCAGGCCTCGGCTTCCAAACTCGAGAGGGATAAAGACCTTCCTCAAAGGTCTTACAGCAGCGCAGCTACTCTGACGACAATAGGCGCTGACATATCTCCCAGTTCGTCCCATTTCTTCGAGGCAAGTGTTTCTAAATAGAGAGAAGCACGGGCCCTTACAAAATGAGCGCGATTCCTGGGGAAAAAAACGCGATAACGAACCCGCAAACATTTTTTCAGCGAAATTTCTCGCGTCGCGGTAACGTAAGCGCTCGCCTGTTAAGAAATTAGGTGTAAGGTAAAGTGAAACACGTATTTTATTATATTCTCTTCCGGTTAATTATTATTTATATTCATTTTTCCCTGTTATTATTGACCGTATATATCCGGAATATCCCTCCACCTAAATTATGCAAAAAATGACGCTTTCACTTTTGTCGCTTCGTTTTTTGTTCAGGAATCGTTGCTACTTATTGTTCGTTCCAAAATGCTCTAGCTTCGTTAAAAAAAAAGAAAAAAAAAAACGGTGGCGAGGGCGAACTCGAAAATTGAGTCTCGTTCCAGGATGATTCTTTCTTGTATTCCTAGGTGCTGTACGTCGGGAAAATCAAAGTGAATTACCAAAAAGTACCCGAGTCGTTCATCGACAATGCCCTCACGAAGATCCGGGCCCACGGGCTGGAGAAGTCCAAATCCTCGGCGAACAATCTGCTCGCGGAGTGTCAACGACTGCAGAAACACGCCACCATGAAGTCGAGTTCCTCCGCTGGTAACAGGAGAGACAGCATGGTGGGTAGATCGGTTTTCCGACATTCCTCCCGAGTGTCACCCGAGAAGCCTCGATTAAGGCCCTCGTTTTGCCCCGCGGTCGGGTCGTATCGACATTTTCATTTGCATCGCTTTTCTTAAGCGTGTTGCGAAAGTGGCATCTTAGAAATCAATCGTTTAATTGTCCTAACACCCATGAAACTTCCATTTTAATTTTTTTTTTACAAACAATTCATTTTAGACGATATCAAAAATGAAATTCTATGGGTGAGGCCTTCGTATCCGTGAGGTAAAATTTGAAACGATTCGGTGCATCCGGCTTGACGAAAATTTTCGTAAACGATCGATTCCTCAGCCGCCACTTTCATCCCATATTAAATATTAATTTCTTTTTTTCCAGGATTCGAGCGCCAGCGAGCTGGGAAGTATGGAGAACTTGTCGGGAAGCAACGTTTTGTCCGCAACTAGTCCCCTGGGGTCCGCAACGGCCATAGGAGGTTCCGTCGAGGCCATCCCGCCTGCGAACAACAATTTCGAAAACGACGGTCAGGAAGGTAATCAAGTGCCAAAGAGAAACGATAACTCCGGTATGCCGTTGCCCGACGTGATGAGGAACCGGGCCTCGTCTACCGGCAGCGTAACGATAGACAGGAGAGACTCGAAGGGCGGCTACGAGCACAATCGTACAATGCTGTTTCAGGTAATTCCGCTTTGCTCGAGTTTAGGAAACAACCGGTTAACGGGACGCGTTAATGATTTTTTCGCATCTCAGGTCGGTCGGCAGGATCTAAGGCTGATCAGTCCCGATAAGAAACAAGTGCTGCTTCATAAACAGCTCAAGGATGTGGCGAGCTGCGTCCAGGGCATACAAAATCCGGAACACTTCGGCTTCGTCTGCAGAGAGGCTGGGGTCGAGTACTACGTCGGCTACGTCTTCAAGTGCCAGTCCGAATCCGTTGCCGATGATCTAGTCGGAGGTACGTAAACGTTGCTAGGACGAGTTTCTTGATCTGCCATTTTCAATTAATTCGACGTGCAATTATTTCTGTGAAACAGCGATTAAGCAAGCATTCGTCGCGTGCGACAATTCGAGGAGAGAGAGGCATCACCCGGTGTTCTCCTGCGATCACTGTCCCATGGTTTGGTACAACAAATTGTGCCAGGAGATCGAAGGTACCTTGAACTCGCGTCGAAGAGGTATTCGAAGAAGTAACGCCCGGTCATGGTCTTTTCATTCCAGGACAAAATGACAGGAAGACTCAAAGTATAATATTCTCTCGGCTGGAGATGCTACCGGAAGACGAGCAGGAGATCGTCGTTACCAAGTACAAAGGAGCGGAAGCAGCGGGGGGTTCCGGCACCGTTACCAGTTTGCGGGAGCAGAATCAATTCCTCGTGATGCTCCTCCGGGCACATTGCGAGGCGAAACAGGCGAGACACGTCCACGACACGGCGGAGAACAGGTGACAATTTATAGAATTCTGTTTTTCTTTCGAGAGACCCATCGTTTCGAAAACCACCTCTATTTTCCTACATAAAACCTGATCTCGTTTATAAAACTTTTTTCCGAACCGAATGGTACTGTTCCAGGAGCGAGTTTCTCAATCAGTATTTAAGCGTGGGAGTGGGAAGTACAATTTTCATGAAGGCGAAGCGTTCTTTGACGAACAGCTTCGACAACCTCATGAAAAGGAAGGGGTCGAGAGATGATTTCGGCTTGGGTCCGCAATTGCGCGACTCGAATTCTATGAATCAAAGAAACGGAAGTCAGAGTCCTGTAAGTTCGGGACCTTCTTCGATAGTCGATGGTCCTTCGGAGGCCGGAAGACCGAAATCCTTGAGAGTCTCTCCGGAGCAGCAGCTGACCGTTAACACTGGACCAAAGAGTCCCATGATGGACATGTGAGTGTATAGTGTAGGACACGTGATACTTTTCTATAACACCGTTCGTTAACTCGTTCATTTATTTATTCGTTGGCAAAGAAATAATTGTCACTGGATTCGAAGCTTAACGAGTAGGTATCAAAAATCAGAAAAAGACGTCCCCCTTAATTCGTGTCGCTGATTTAAGAGAGATCGTTACCTTTTGAATGGGACCTCCCTGGGATCCTGTACAGGGCAGGAAATTTCGAAATTTTATAATTTCCGGGGTTGTGAATTTAAAAAACCTTTCCAAACAACAAATTGTACTTAATAATTGATATTTTCTTCGTCCTTCTAGTCCGAAGGACATAAAATAACCTGCCGATGCGTTATACATGAGTTACGTAATTTTGTCTTATGATTTAGCTTTTTAAAAGTGGGCAATTCCCCGAAAACGTCTCCCACGGTAGTGGACGAGAGCAGTCGACTACAATCCAGCGGATCGTGGAGACAAGCGATTCTAAATCGTGTCGTAACTCCTGGTAAGGATAAAGAGAACAAGGAGAGCGACGGTTCCGTGGGTAGCAACGCGAATAAGAAAAGCCAAGCACCGGCCGCTCGCCGGACTAAAGAAGAATTGAGGGCGCTCTGGAAGAAGGCGATCAATCAGCAGCTCATTCTCATTCGGATGGAGAAAGAAAATGCTCGACTTAGAGGTACGCTCTCGTGCAACTTAGGCAACACTTTGGGTCCAACTTTTCTCCACCTTCAACGTGAATTAATCGTTGCAGTGCGCCAGGAAGAAGCGACCGTGAAGAGAATTAAATTAGAATACGACGAGTTAAGTAGTTGCGCGAGAGAGCTGATCGAAGTTTGGGATCTTCTGGTCAGCAAAGAGTCCAGGATCTCCACAAAATGCGACAACCAGATGCTGCTGCAAGCTATAAAACAAGGTACAAGATCGGGAACCTCCGTGACAACCATTTTGTACGCAGGTGGCATTGCTAGGGAATTTCATGCATTTTTATCTTCCCTTCTTCAGGTGTTCCTAGAGGCAAACGCGGCGAAGTCTGGCAATTCTTGGCCGAGCAATTTTGTCTAAAGCAGCCTCCGATGGATACGAGGAACTTCCCGAATTACAACGTGCCCTATGACTTGTTGCTGAAGCAATTGACGTCGCAGCAACACGCAATTCTCATTGATTTGGGAAGGACGTTTCCGAATCATCCGTATTTCAGCTCGCCATTGGGACCTGGACAACTAGCTCTTTTTAATCTATTAAAGGCCTATTCTCTTCTCGACCACGAAGTTGGATATTGTCAAGGACTCAGCTTCGTGGCTGGAGTGCTCCTTCTACACGTAATTTGATTTTTAATCGAACGGTAGTCGGATACGGAGGGGAGGTTTTTCCGTTTCTAAGATTTTCATTTTATCAGATGGCAGAGGATCAGGCGTTCTTCCTGCTGAGGCACTTGATGTTCGAGAGAGGTTTGAGGAAGTTGTATCTCCCGGACATGGCTGCACTTCAGTTGCATCTGTACCAGTTGTCGAGACTTCTTCACGACCGATTGCCGACTATTTACGATCACTTTGACAAACACGAAGTGTCGCCTACGTTGTACGCGGCCCCCTGGTTGCTGACTTTGTTCGCCAGTCAGTTCCCTCTGGGATTTGTAACTAAAGTATTCGGTGAGTCCTATATAACGTATATCTTATTAATAATATGCATTTTATCTAATGTTATACTTTTTAACCTATACTCTATTTTATTTTTCACAGATTTACTTTTCCTCGAAAGCTCGGAAGTGATCTTTCGCGTAGCTATGGCCTTACTGGAGGAACATCAGGATCGTTTAATTTGTTGCGATAGTTTTGAGGAAATCATGGAGTATCTTAAGGTACGTATTAATTATTTCTTTTACAAAAAATGAATTTATTACGGGGGGAGAGTATTTAATAAATAACTGGGTTTCAGGTTCGAGTGCCAGCCGTGGATAAGAATATTTTAGATAGAGTGATGAAGAGGGTGTTCTATCCGGACACGGAGATGGGTAAACAGTTGAACGAGTACAGAGTGGAGTACCACGTATTACAGGAAGAAATGCTTTCCGTGAAACCACAGATAGAGAACATGGAGAAACTTGAGTTACTTAACAAGCAGCTCGCCCAGCAAAACGCACATCTCAGCGAACAGCTCGAAGTAAGCGATGGAGCTACATTTAACATTCGGTATCCCCGAAGCATCGAAACGTTTACTACGTTTAATATAATAAACTTTCAGATTGCCATGAGCAACTTACACAGTCTCGAAACGACCCGATCCATGCAAGGTTCCAACGTCCACAAATTGGAGTCGCAGAACCGAAGTCTCTTGGTGACCGTCACGACATTGGGAGCCTTTATCCAGCAATTGGTAGATACTCGAACCGACATAGAGATTCCAGGGGACGTGCGTAGAATAGTGGCCCAACTGAGCACCGCGGAGAAGCGATCCAACAGTATCGGCAAGGCGTATCCTTTGAAAGTGATCGAAGATAACAACAACAAGTACGAACCGATAAAAAGCAGTTCAACCGGCAGAGAGTCCCAGAGGTTCTTAAAGAGTGGCAACAATCTGACGGATGCACCTTATCCACTAAAGTCCACCTTGAGTCAGCCCAATCTTGGTGCTCGACTTGAGAAGGTGTCGTCTTTCTTTGCCAATTCGCATAATCACATTCGCCAGCAACGCGCGCAAATGGCTGCGATCAGAAGCGAATCCGGCGAATCCGGTGAATCCGGCGAAGAAAAATTTGGCATTCGCGGTAACGATGAAAACGATCAGAAAACTGTAAACATTGACATTCGGATAACCGATACGGTCAATACCGCCAACGAGACCCGACCTCAAAGCGAGGCTAATCTTAAAATCGACACGATCGGTTTGGAAAAATCAATTTCGTTGCCGTTGTCGAATGCTAAGATTAAGCTGAAACCGTCGAAATCGTCGTACGAGCTGGGTTCCGTTAAGAAGATTCCCACGACGAAGTTGGAAGACACGTGCAGCGATAACGTAACCAGTGTTATGGGAACTGTGCATCCGCTCGATAACTGCAGCGAAGTTAACTTCAAGTACGGGGGCACTACGAAGCTCAAGTGCATCAAACCGATGAGATTCCAGGCGCAAAACGGGCAAGGAGACACCCTCAATCAAGATATACAAAGTCAGAATTCAGAGATATTAACTAGATAACGGTTGCTGCTGGTTACCATCCTCGAAGAGAATATATTGTGAGACAACCGTCAAAGAATTTAGACGACGGAGAGTGGCGTCGTCGGTTAAGGAGTTGCATCGGTCTCTCGTGACGATTAGTTTATCGTATTAACGTATTCCTTTCGTTATGATTTACGTCGGATAAAGGGTGTAGAGAGAGAGAAATTGGGTATATTAGTGCACTCGTGATTCGTCCAGTATGTAGACATTTCGGCACCGTTGTTACTTTTTTTAGGAACCAACGACCCTGTCTCGGTGTTCGTTGGGTAGACGAAGGCTAAAACGGTCAGGAACTTTATTGCTATACAACTGAAATTTTCCAGAGCGTACTTTATGGGGTTTGAGTTCATCGAACACGCCTTGCCAATATTTTCTAGACAGAGGGACTACGATACTACTTTAAAGTCTAGAAACGTTTGGTTGATGTATAAGGGAAAAGTCTATGAATTTTTACAAACATTTTTACGAGCTTCCAAAAATTCTAAAATAACCCTAGAAGACCGAACGCGTTAAGAAGTGGTTAAAATACCCTCTCCTAGTGTTTTTGACGCCGGAGGGACTGGACGTCTCTTTTTTTACCAAAATGCGATGCTCCACTCGGTACGTTTTGGAAATTCCCTCCTCGACTTTACTCGCAACTAAAATTCGTCCCGAAGCTAAACCTTAAACATCGGATTACGTTCCTGTCCTTGAGATTTCATCGAACGGTGAATCTTAACCAGGAGCGAAAACGATTGGCTCGGTTTCTTGCCATATTTACAATTCGCCAAGACTTGTAATAAGTGCTCACGCTCGCGCAAATATTTAGACTCGTCTTTTATCCCGCTGGAACGTTAACGTATCTTTGATCCTAAAAGGTATATCTAACTTTGCAGGAACGGTAGGTATACCGAATGATCAAACTGCCAAAATTTTTATATAGTCGAGTACTGACCGTGGAATCCACCTCGAGGTAGAAACATTGCGCGGTACTTAATGTGTGTAAACTTAAATATTGGTACAAATAGTCAGTCTTAGAAGTTAGATATAATTAATTTAAATTCGACTCGATTCCACTTTATAAGCATCGTTATTGGTATATTGGTAAAAATCTGAAATTTGATAAAACATAGAAAGTAGGACGCAATCCTTAAGATTCCTTAATCATAAAAGCGATGATTACTTTAGTTTCTCACCCATTACTCGAATGATTGCGATAAGTACAGACATTAGGTAATCGTTTCGGGGAGTTTCTTTGGTTTTTTCGGACGTTCGTATCTTAAAACGTAAACATTTGGTTCACCGGTCGTTCGGAACGGTACCTTTTATTTGACCATTGCCCTATGAAGATTGTTAACGGTGGCGATTCTCCGATATATATTATAGAGTAACGTTAAAGTCTATAAAATATTATTTTTTGTAGCATTTAGATTTGTACCGTCTAGCCAGTAGAGATAAATATTTATAACAGCAGGAGGTTTCCGAAACAACTGTCTAAATGAAGTGAAATTATTTGAAGGGAGATAAACGGATGAAATCGTAGAGTCCGTACCTTTTTTGTCTATGTATATATTATAAAGAAAAAAAGATTTAGGCGTATCGTAGACGATTATCCCCCAAACCGAAGTATCCGCAGGTTTCGTAAATAAGTTCCCCTTAACCGTATTTACCCATTTTTTGGAGTAATATAACCGGATACTTAATAATTTGCTTCCATCGAATATTTCAAATGTTATTCGAATGTCAATTCCAAGGAAGTCGATCGAGCTCCTAGAAGTAATTTAATAACCTTTACAGTTTGTTACGAGAGTTCCGCTCTACTTTGATAAATTTACTTTAAACCTCTAACCCTTAGATTCTTACCGAATCGTTCCGTCGGACAAGGCATGGCAAAGATGCACATATCGAACTTAAATATTATTAACTAACGATAAGTATAATTAAACACGGTTTCGTCTCGTTGACTTCCTAAAGCTCTAGTTTCCCCTGAAGCGATAGAATAAAGTTCAATACGACAACGGTAAATAAAAGTTCAATATCGAAAATGGACCGGTCTCCGTCGATGTACGAATCTTCGAATAAAATTTGAAATACCAAATCAAACGTCTCGTCATGTGATAATATTGTAGTTAACTGTAATTCCAAGATGTAGGAAATAAATCGAGTGACTTCTTCGAAAGGTCCCTGTTCATAGTGTCACTTTTTGTTTCGGATTTCGAAAGGACTCGCGGGCTTTGTCGCGTCGGAACCGTTGTAAGCAGTATTGTAAAAGATGTGTAAATACGAATCGACATCATCGATGAGTGCTCTTTCGGTTAATCTACAAGCGTATTATTTTTTACGTCGAGTCAACACGGTATACTTTATCGTGTTATAACGAATTACCCTCTAACGTCTTACGTAAGTCCTTTCTGGGATGTCCGTTTAGGGCACTCGGTTTATGTATCAATAAAGTACGACTCGACTACTGTACTCTCCGGTGTTCTCGTTTAAACTATAGAAATATTACCGGTTTCGATTCCTGCGGAACGAAGGAAATTGTATCTTTTGAGTCCATTTTACGTTCCGTTTTGGATGGTATATCCGACGGAAGGACTCGTTTTTACCAACGACGATCAAGTTTTTCGGCGCGTCGCCTCAAAGCGGTCCTTAGCGAGAAAAAGGCAAAGGGGAGAGGTTTCTTTTCAATATATATATTTCGTATTCAAAATATAATAATGAACATTACACATGATGCTAGCTCGTATCGTGACAATCAGCACTGACTGGCACTTACAGTGGTACCGTGTAATAAACAAGTTGAACGGCTAGCGTCTGGAAAAGGCAGATATGAGATCGAAGATACAGAAGGCTACTCAGTGGCTTTTGCGTTTGTTAAAAAATTGGCAAACGTAAGTAGCCAGGTCGAATAGACTGTAGCTCGAATGTAGATCGTTGCGTGGGGTCGTCCGCGACGTTCCCACCGGTTGGGAACGTCGATTCATTGGTTCGCGGGAAAAATCTCAACTTACTCCTTAATCTCAAAAAAGGATAAAAAATCCGCAGGTCGGAGATCGGCCAAACATTTTCAGAAGAAATCTCTGTCGCTCAACTTGTAACGCGGGGAATCCACGCGCAATGAAAGTTGAGAACGAACGCATAAGAATACCTTTTGGCGAAGAAACGAGTACACCGCTCGACCTAAAAAGTAAACTATTAAATATTATTATTACGATGCCTTCAGCGAATGCCATACAAAACATCTTGGAAATACAATAGGTACGCTCATAAAAATATTCACTGAACATCCGTGTGCCCGTTCCTATGCGCATGAAACGTGGAAACGTTAAAGGGTGAACGGGGGGGAAGTCGATTTTTCTCGATATGAAAAATCTATCGTATCCAGGATATCTTCGCACCGCATTCTTCCTCTAATACGATTAGAAAAAGTTAGTCACGCTCTCTTTCCCTGACTCCCATCGCCTCTCTCATGCATTAAGAAACTAATCGCGTAATAACGAACCGATAATGTATCTGCATGTTGCTAGACGTTAGCTTCGACTCTCATCCCTTACGAGTACTGCAATATAATACATAGTCCATTAATGACATAATTAGATCGAAAGTAATAATGTAGGCAAGCAGAAGCCCACGTACGATTTCCTTAAAAGCCCCGAAACCCTTAGGATACAATTAATCCATACCTCGTTCCTATACGGTGGCAAGAAAAACAACACTCAAATCGCCTTAACCTCTAATATTTATAATAATCGTGTAATCATCACAGTGATAAACAAAAAACATATGTATATATACATACATGTATATATATATATACGTATATACTTTTTGCTCAGTTTAATTCTGTGGTTTCCATTTTTTTTCTTCATCCGTTTAGTTTTTGTAATTAGGTAATCACTTAATGGAGCGTCTGACAGTGGCACTTTACCCACACCTTTTTAGTTTCTTTACACGTTTGTTCCTTGTATCAGGTTGTCCGGAAAGTAATTACAGGTTTTGTCGTTCAAGATTCGATGCGTTGATTTGAAATAAAGTTGTATTTCCTTCGCGTCCACGTTCCCAAGTTTTAAAGCGCCAGACTTTGATCCGTATTTTTAAACGGTAATCGCGCTTCAAATAGTAATTTCTGTTTTATCGCGCGATTTAATTGAAGATGGAAGATCGCAAAAAGTCGAAAGCCTTAAAACGATAACACGGCCGCGAAGGAAAAGCAGAATGATTTGAAAAAAGCGCTAAATCTTAAACGGCAAAAGTCGCGATTGCTCTCCATACAGCCTGACAATTCTCTCGGCTGCATGTGCCCTTTCCTCCCCGCTGAGAAACTTTCAGCTGCATTACAGTTACATCGCCCGTAGCGCCCGTTTTCCGGGCACATCCTAAAGTGGTAAAGTTACTTTTATCACTGTACAGAGGGAAAGAGGGAGAAAGAGTAAAAGGCAGAAAAAAAAAATGGAAAGGGAAGAAAGAAGGGTCGAGATGCCTCGGTCGTGTTACATGTTATAACTTTTTGTAAAAATATCCATTTTATACGACACGGTCGCCGTTGCGCAGGAGCGGACTGCAGTCCTTCAGCCTGAAGGCAGTCTCTTTAGAGAGACATTGTACATGCCTCTTTTACAGGACAGGATATATACCTTTTTGCCACTGCAGGAGCTCTCCGCCACTCGGGGAATTATTCGTTACGGAATTATGCTAGGACGTCAATTTACAGATTTGATGGAACCTTTACGTGCTACAAAGCCCGGAACACAGACCACCGACTGAGAGATACCTAATATGTACACTTTTTAAAACGGTTCAGAGCTTACAGGAACGTGAAAGTGGCATCCGAGGGGTCGATCGTTCGTGAAACTTTTTCCGGGGTGTATCAAATTGTTTCCTCAGCTCGGAATTCCTCAACGGGAATGTGGAAGCTATAAAGAAGGTTCTGACCCCATCAAATTTCATTTTTCATACAAAATTTTGAACAAATGTTAAAAAAAAAAAATTGAAATCTGATGGGTGGCGGGACCTCCCCTGCAGCACGCATACGTTGCATATTCACATTATAAATGTTGAAACGATTTGGTACCCTCAGTTTGGAGAAAAGTCACAAACGAGACCTAGTTGACGCCACTTTCGCATCACCTTAACATCGTTTTTGGCTGCGCTGCTCGTGCTTTTCTACGTGCCGCCCACCCCGGAGCTTAATGACCGAAACTAAGAAATATTACATCCATCTCTGTGATAATTCGTTACAGTCGTGACAATGAGAAAACGGGACATCGATTGGGATTATTTAGACACGTTGAAACCGACGACGACTCGCGGAATTGAAAAATGTATAGCGGAAGTGCAAGGGGCGGTTGTAACGTCCCTTCGCTCCGGGGTGGGGACGTAAAGCAGCATGCTTAATAAGTACAGTTGACTCGTCGGAGTTTCTTAAAAAGGGAGAGAGGAGAGGAGAGAAAGAGAGAGAAACGAAAGAGAAGGACCACAGGGGTTGCCGGCGATAGGACCGCGTCCGAAGCCTTTGGCTCTCGTAGTGCGCATTCCGAGGGGCCGTTTACTCGGGAAATCATGGATTTAAAACTACAAATCACGTGGACATCGTCAACGTGCAGAAATTATTGGAAGTCGGAAATAACTGAAATATTGTCACGATTTCAAGGTGACGCGAAGGTGGCGTCAAAGAGGTCTCGTTTATGAAACGTTTCTTACGAAACGAACTAGGAGTAGCAAATCGTTTCATCGTTTACAACGCGCATACGGAAACTACGAGGAAGGTCTTGACATCCATAAAGCGTCACGTTGTATAAAACATTTAACTAATTAGGAAAAAAAAAATCGAAATTTCATGGATGCCAGGTCCTTTCTTATAGTCTCCATATTTACGTTGTAAAGGGTGAAAAGATTCGGTGCCCCAGGTCCGGAGAAAAATTTCACGAACGATCGACCCCTCGGACGTCACTTTTGCGTCCCCGCTCGTTACCGAATCGCGTCTCCGTTTGTCGTATCGAATCAAAGGCAATCGGTTTTGAAGGAAAGGAATGGTTTTCACCGATTTCCGAGCGAACAGCCCCTCGGTGCTTTTAATACTTGAGAATTTCCACACGAAGTACCTCGAGAAATGAAAATGCACTCCAGGCACCTTGCAGTGGACAAGCGACCACCAACCAAAGGCCTTTAGGCAGCATGTACATTAGTTTCACTTCTTAAAAACAGTCTTTATACAGTATTTAAATTATTATATACACATGTGCAACTAGCTAGAGAATAAAAATTGTTTCCGCCCCTCGCCTCCGACTTGGCAGTCGAGAACCTAACCTACCTAGTTACTCGAAATCCTCATTGTTTTAAGTCCCCTCCTGATTAGCCTTGTCGGAACCTCGTCCACCATACCCTGATTATATTTACAGCGGCCTTTAAATACCCACGAACTCGTAGCACTTAAACCCCGGAACGGCTCGCATTCAAAGACTGTTGTCGCGATTTATCCCTTCATTCCGTAGGCAAGCGAAGTAACCCCGCACTTCTAAAACGTACGCTTCGCAAGGCACAACGGCCTGTCGCCTCAATTCCACGACCGACTCGATGTAACAAAATGCCCCCCTTTTCCGCGCTCGACGTCGCGAGACTCCCGTAATCTCCCTTTTACTCGACAGGAACGCGTAAAGGTAAATAAACGTGACCAAATCCAACGCGAAATGTCAAGTACTGGGTGGCGTGGAGGAGCTCTCCTTTGTGAAACTTTTTTTTTTTTCGTACCGGATGTGCCGAATCGTTTCAGATTTTACAGCGTAGATACAGAGGCCGGAAGGGAGATCCTGACCCCCGTGAATTAAAATTTTTTTAATTCGTTTGTAGACATTTAAAAAATGTTGTATAAAGAATGAAATTTCATGGCGGTCGGGACCTGCCTTATAGCTTCCATATTGACGGGGTAAAGTTCGGTAAAACGATTCGGTAAGCCCAGTTCAGAGAAAAGTTTCACGAACGAGGCTCCTTCGATGCCATCTTCGCGTCACCTTAAGGTCTTCGCGGCTACCTCTGGCAACGGTACCGCGAAAATGTCAAATGGCGTCGTATTTCGGCAGTTTGCATCGATTCTTACCGCCGTGCCTATCGTTACCGCTACTCGAGATGTCCGTGCAAGCCTTTACGTCCTCGCCGCTTAAGGACGCTCGCAAAGAGCAATGGAAACGAGGTAACGACTATCGGTAAATGATGCGGGCAACGAGTATCCGTCTTTTCCGTCACGACCCGCAGACAAGACGCGTAGAAAAATAAAACGAAGCGCAACAGCCTGTGAGCGGGTCTTTCCGCGCCATGCCGTCAACGGTGGTCCGGACCTTGGCGATCCGAAGTCCCCCGACCTCCATCGTTGACCCCCCAAACGGCGGGGGCGACGTCCCACTTCCATTAGCTTTCGCCAAAGGGACGCGTAAATACTGTTGGTCGTAGTTCGACGAGTGACCGATATTCGATGATCCGTTCGTATCTTTTCACGCCTCCGGTTTGACGTAGCGAGCGGGGTTCACGGCCGTCGACGCACATCACCTCGAGAGCAAAATACACAAGAGCGCCGCACCTGCCGACAACACCAGCGAGACTCTCGACAACGACGACGAGGATGCCGCGCTGGAGGCTGCCTTGGTCAGGTCCTCGCAGACACCTGTAATCGGAAATAAATGTGAACTGTACTTTTATCTCTTTGCAGGGTAGGGAGGAGAAACGAGGGGATGGACTCGTTGTATCGGATACCAAGAGGGGCTGTTGGTTACCTTGGCTGGCTAGCCTGTAAGTCCATTGATCGGCCGTTTCTCTCTGACAAGTGCGAGCTGGTCTCGTCAGCCATAATTCTTGTTCGCGTTGCTGGAGCCTGGTTCCTCTGGCGGATAATTTCTCCATGGCATCGGCCATGCGCATGGAGAAGCAAAACGTCTGTCCAAGGCCCACTGTCAACTCTGTGCTCCTTTGGGAGACTATCGTGTACCATGTTCCCTTTTCTTCCCAGCTGCCGTGACAGGAGTACGCTGCAAAGCGGATCGGCATTTACGTTACGGGTACCCCCGTGTACACGTACCCTGGCGGTCACGAATGGCTTCGGGTCCATTTATACAACAAGTTTTTTTTTCTTCTTCGCTACTGCCGATTATCTAAATATTAATTGTATAAACAAATTTGCAGTAGTGATATTATTTTCAGGGTTTGTTCCCGCGAGTTCAAATGAATCCGATGGTGAAAAACGATACGAAAGTGGAGGAAGAATCGAAAGTAAGGAAAGAGTAGACGGACGTTAATCGGATTTATAATTAACGGTGCCGATTCGAAACCCGGGGAGTTACTCGAAAATCAACCGAGAGGAAAGTTTTTAGGGGTGAGACGGACCCCGATCGATCGTTCGATTGATCGGCCTATCGATTGATTAAACGATTACCGCGAACGGAGTAATCGGCTTGGGGATCGCTCGTTTATTTTCAATCGGTTTACTGGTTTCGACATACTTATCGGATTACTTTACGCGAGTAATCGGCTTGGAATTGGTTATCGATCACCTTCGATTTATTTAATAATATTAGCGGCCGGGGGTGATTGGCTAATTCGCCGGCGAATTGATTTGTTTAATCGGGGAGTCGATTCCGCCCCGATGTCTCGGTTGAAAGTAATTCGTTGGCGAATTCGGCAGCGATCGAACGGGCAATCGATAACACCCGATCCCCTCGATGTCTATTGACATATGAACTTTACCTCGGTACCGATCGTACAGGCAATCGTAATTATAACTCACCCACTTCCTCGCGTTCGCACGTGTTGGCTATGATCATTTCATTTTGGCCAGGCGTGCTGCAACCGATTTGAATATCGGTATTTCTGCAGTCCTCTTCGTCGCTTTCTTCTTGCCATGCCGTTCTTTCGACCGGTCTTGTCATTTTGACCCCGCGTCGATGTCTCCTCGACATCGTGGACAAGACTCGCGATTGTTCAAAATCTAGGATCGAATATCTCCCCGGCTGAGGACACTTTCTTTGGTGAAGCGTCGAAGCTGTAAACAAAATTCAATCGGTCATTAATTGTACATTAACGATCCCGTTGAATTTTTTTACACTTAAAAAAAATTAATTCAACCACGTTATCCATTAGCGTGGATTATTTTCCATGACATATTTTAGTTTCAGGAGGTAACGACCATTGAAAAAGTAATACAACGATGGGCTTACTTATCAGGGTCGTGTATGGCATTAATGACGGATCCGATAAGGTGCACGCCTCGTCTGGCATAATTGCTTTTTGATCTGCAACGGTACAGGGAAATCCGATTAGATAAGAGCGATCGGGTTGCCTCGAAGCAACCTACTTCCAAAAATCCCTATCGACGGTATTGCATTGAGGGCGTTATCGAAAACTTACTCGACTGCTGCAGCTCGATTACATGGCCGTCCCTTCTGTGGAAGATCATGCAGACGTAACCACTGTCGCTGTAATCGAAATAACGAACGTAAGAACGAAGCTTCAAAAGCACGGACATCCCCTTACGACTACCTCGACGAGCTTAACAAACTTCCTCTGAAAATGACTCATCGATTCCCTTCGATATTTCCGGGTACACGTTTCTTTAGAATGATTGCATGTTTATGGATAAATGAATTGCGATTGATGTCACATTTAAAGGTAAATTAATTGCGACCAATATCGGTAATTTTCGAGGTCGTAACTTACCAGCCGCTGGTGAAGTGCGCGACCAACTTCACTCTGTGGCCTTGCACGTTGTCGTTCTCCAGATTGTGACAGACGATTTTCTCCTCGTAAGGGACGTCCCCGGTGTTGTCTTGTAGCGTCACTTTCAACGTGGCGTTTCCACTGGTGAAATGGTAGCTCCTCGAGCCGTCCAAAGAGTGCCAGTCGTGGTGTTGGGTCACCCAGGAAGGATACTTGCAGCGGCTGTGCTCCCTGTCCACTGCAACATCGGCAGGAACTTCGGCATAGATTTTGGGCTCAACTTTCGAGGCGAAAAGCTCGGGGGATCGATTAATGGCCTTACGTACCTTTAGTGAATTTCAGAGCTCGAGATCCCTCCGAGACCGAATTCAGGCCGTTGCATGTCGGATCTCCCGAATCGGCGAGCTGATAAGTTATCCGACCCTCGTGATGCTTCACGTCGTAGACGAAACATCTGAAGCAAGATAAAAGGAGGATCGGACATCCGTGATATGAATTCATTTTTGTCGCACGATCATAACTGGGGAGAGATTCATTTTTTGGAGGGTAATTCGGTACTCGACAACGTTTTCGATGTAATGCTTCGCGTCTCGGTCGAAACACCAGAAGCGAGATAAAATAAGGAAGGTCCCTAAAAATCATTACGAATCGCTCCCATTGTCAATATCTGATTTTTTTCAATTTTCAGAGTCATCGGAAGGATGGCGAAAATCCCGAGATAATGGTTTACTGAATTTTTGACGGGCAAGGACCTGGAAGAGAAGCTTCCCGAAAGGGGCAGAAACTTTCAAGGGACCGGAGCAAAAAAGCGAGGGAAAGTTCCATCGAGTTTTCGCTTATCGATTCCGGAAACTTCCGGCCATCCCCGGAAGGGGGCTCAGCGGACACCGGAAGTCGGGGTCGTTAATTGTTTCATTTATCGATCCATCGTGCCGGGATGCCGGTAATTTGTATAATTGCGGGGACTCTCCTAATTCACTCGGGGGTGCAGGTCTCGCCCCGGTGCCTTCTAATTCTTCCTTAATTAATTCCTATTTCGGGGACTGGTTCTATACCCGAACGGTCGAGTCCAAACGTTAACGATAACCGCCCTTCGGCATGGAAAATCGTGGGAACTCGAAAAACACCGCAAAGAGTCGAAACGAATTTCGCTACCTGTAAGATTTCTCGTAGCCCAAGGCACCTCTTCCGAAGACTTTCAGGGTCCCCACCAGGTATTTCATCCTGCCATCTTTCCACGTCGCCAGGCACTGCAGTTCTTCGGCTGGAGGATCGAGCAAAATCAATTGTTAATTAACACACGTACAAAGAAATAAGTCGTCCAAGTTTTCAATCCATTTATTTAACGCGAGGAGTCGAACGCGTTTGCGGTTGTCTCTTTAATTTATAGCGGTCGTGCCTTGACCATGCGTGTATTCGAGGATAGATTCTTTTTTCAAGTAAATATTGTCGCGAACTTGTCATTTTTTGTCGTGATTTTTTCCCGTTAACATGCCAGAGAATGAAAAATGAAAATCACGTATCAGCGAGAAGCTTGGAAATTTGGAGGTTACGTTCCCTTGGAGGTCGATCGCGGATCGCCAAAGGCGGGGGATATTTCAGACCTGAAATCCTGTCAGAGTCGACGCGCCGTGAAAGAATGATAATTGAATTACTTTTATAATCCGTTTAGCGACTTCGATCCGGATGAGGCCCCCACGGGCGCGTCTCTTCGTTGTTTTATCAAGCTACAGTCCACAGAAGCCCGCGGATGCTTCCGCTTCGATCCCGGGGCCACTTTTCTTTTCGGCTTAACGAACGACACCCCCTCGAATTTCCGAATCCTCTTTCGAAAACAAAAGCAAATAACTTTCTTCCGAAATCTCTGCGTTTTATATGATAATATGATAATATGATAATACGATAATCCGATAAGAAGATGAAAAATAAATCATGCAATTCCTGCAGAAAATCCCCAGAAATTGTTTGCCCTTTCTTTACTTTACGAGACTTCGGATTGGCGATCGAATTCCGCAAAGTAGCGGGAAAAAGGAGGAAAAGATCGCGGGAAATGGCAGGTCGCGTCGTATAATTACTCTTCCCACCGTTTTAATTCAGCCCCATCTTCCGGGCTTCCCTGGGCGGGCTGCAAGCTCCAAAAGCTACCGCGAAATGACAAAGCTCTCTCTTTTTGACGACCTTCCGGGACTTGCGACCCAACGATATTAAGTTTACGGCCTCGCGACAACCAGCCTGGTCGCTTTATCGCGCCTTTACGACTCATCTCGTGGAACGCCGAATTACCCGTTCTTTTACGCGATTTCCCCTCGTAAAGTCTGTTTTTCGCGGGTCTTATAAGTACAGCTGGCTTTTGCCTAAAACCGATGAAAGCTCCGATGGGCTTTAAGGGAGTGACACCTCTTAGCTGATGCGGTTTCGCGTTTCCCGCTGACGAAAATTCACTCCATCCGTTCAATTAAACTTCCCCCTTCGATCGGTTAAAATTAAACCCCCCCTCTTTTTTTTTTAATTACCGAAGCAAAATTCCTTCCTCATTTTTCCAGGGAGAAAAATCGACGCCCCGTCTCCGGGATATCCACGGAAAAATTCATCGACGAGGGATTTAACGTCTGGATTTAAGAGGAGGAATAAAGCCGAAAGAGGACACCCCGTATAACGCACGTCCCCGTTTCGAAGCCCCTTGACGTAATTTCGTTGTATTAAGAGGCGGACTTTATGAGCGTGTGGTTTCGTCCCGAGGCATGCCACGACAAACGGAGCCACGGCTCGATATATAAAGGACCTATTATTCTAACTACCCGTTAAACCGCCATTGTTAATAGAAATTCGTTTAGAGCCAAGAGTGCTTTCCGGCGACGACGATCCGGCGTTCCCCGAGACGTTTCCCTCCCGACTCTCCTCCCTTCCGTCGGGGGAGGTACGTGCATTAAGACCCATCGAAGTCCCTTACTTTCCTACATTAGCGAGGTAATGAGCTTAAGAACACGTTTCGCTACTTCCCCGTGGAGACCGACAAACGGGATGCCTCCTCCAGTCAAATTCCTCCCGTAAATCTATTTGTTCCCCCGGAAGCACGTTTTTGCCATTTCCTTCCCGCCACGAGAAAGAAGGCGAACGAGAAATCTCGCCTTTTGCTTCTCGCAAATAAACTAAATAAGAGCATCGAACGGTTGATTTTCCTTTGGTCACTGCACGTTTGAACGATGCTACCGAAAAGGTGGCAAAAAGTGGTCAAGTGTCAAGAAACGAATCGATCGACGAGTCGGAGAAGAATGAGCAAAAGTACTGACTGTTGCTCTCGGTGCCCTCGACGTCGGGGCAGGCCTGGTACTTGAGAAGCAACTTGCTCTCGTCGGTGCAGCTTTCCGCGTGGCTGACGGGGTTGAGACACTCCTTGGAATCCCCTCGGTTGTAGGAAAACGTGAAGGGGGGCCCATTAAATGGACACGCGATCGGTTTCGAGTCCAGCCTGAACATGGAGTACAGGATCTCGTCGGACCTGACGACGTAGCACAACGCGTCGAACGAGTCGCCCTCGGTCTTGCACATGCCCACTGAAAAAGATTTCAAATATTCAATAAATAAGCACTGTATTTCAATTTCCCTCAAAATTATACATTTTATACGAAAATTTAGGTTAACACGTAACGAATCGAATTTTGTAATCCATTGGGAATAATTAAGGCCAGCTTGTGACGTTGAAACGCTTGTACATAAAATGTCGAAGGTTTTGAGAATATATTGCGGACTTTTTTTAACCGGGCGGAATAAGACAGCTCGAATGGCGAAATAACAATAAGGTGAAATATTCAGGGTGGACCGCAGACAATGGGCTGTAATCAGAGAGGAGGGCTTTGAGAAAATTCCGCGATATAAATGCCATCTTGAGAGAGGGAGAGATTGAATTTCAAGGCACGCAACGCGATCCCCATGGAGCCTCGAAAAAACGGTGTTTGGGTTTTTCTGGGAGGGAAGAAATTGAAAAGGAAACAGGAAAAGCGGTTTCCAGGATCGATCCGATAACGTCCGCCATTTTGTATCCGCGAAACGGCTCCTCGATAACGCGATAGGCGGTTATACGCGTTCTAGGGATTAAAAAAAAAGGAAGAAAAAAAAATGGAGGGAAATGAGAACGATGGCTTCACTCGAGATAACGAATCGATGGACTGTCATAATCCGGCGAGCACGCGATCCGATAATTTTTCGTGAGAAATTCGCGGTAACACCGCCAAGTCCGAAAGTAAGAGCGATACAGTAATTGCGAGGGTCGGGACACGCGATCACCTCGTTAAAAGTCGAAGCATTGACGGAAGCATTTGGTAAACAGGGAATAACGAGGACTCCGTTCACCTGTTTCCCCATAAAAGATGTCGAGTAAAATATAAATTATACTATCGAGCTTTTTGTGACGTCACGATCGAACCCTGCCCGAGTTCTTTGCGGACCACGTGGGGCACTTTATCCTCGGCAGGCCGGCGCGTCGGGTCCTTTGATAATTTATGCATTTCTGGATAATCTCTCCAGAGAGATGGAGATCCATGTTTAAAGGGCTCGACGAGCCATCCTTTGAACGCGGTTGAACGGGGTTGAAACCCTCCACAGAGGACGGATCGGCTTAAGGGCGGCTCAACCCGGTTACGACGGAACATAACCTCTAACGAGGAACTCGAAATTCGAAGAACGACTTCCTACCAACTATCGGCAGGGGGATTCTCAAATCCCCGTTGGCCGACTCGAGGAGGATAACCGACCTCCGCGACTGCGCTTCTCCTCGAAGGGCAAGTCGCGACTTTCAACTTTTTAAAACCCAATTTTTAATCTTCTCTTATCACCGTGTGTGATCTTTCGGGTGCAAGGAATTCTACTCGTAGTTTGTGATTTGTTGAATATTAACAAGAAATTCTATGACGACTCGTATAATTATTCCATGGGTTTGGCACGGATTTCTCGCCGCCATCTCTCGTTACCCCCAGCGATCCTTACTTTGCTTTACGGTGGAGTCTGAAGTATCTTTACGGAACGGTTCGAGTGACCGTACAATTATTAACGACGAGACGATATTCAGCAGGCGACTCCTTATATTTGGTCGAACGACGCGATTCCGCGGAAACAATGGCGGCCAGGAAGCGCCGGAGCCTCCGGCGCGGCCGCCGCGATTACTCCGCGGTCGTCGCGACGGCGACTCCGCACTCGCAGCCCTTTGAGATGCAAATGCTAATTGAAATGTAAAAGTCGGTGACCTATATCGTCGACGCAACCTTCCCTCCTTTCTACGTTTCCGCAAGAAGAGCCGAGACCGCCGTTATCGTCGCCATAAATGTAATAAACTGAAAAATATCCCTCAGAATTTGGGAAACAAAAATTAAATTTCATTTAATTTTCAAAAAATAAAACAAGTTATTGAAGAGTATCTAACCAAATTTTTTTTCGAATCGGATACGTAATAATCGAAAATTATGTTCACGTGAGAACGAATCGTGACAAAAAAAATAAATAAAAATACTGGTACGCGGTGGAGCCCTTCGGTCCGTTAAAAATGATTGTAATTTTCACAAAAACATATGTATACAAACGTACCGAACTTTAAGATCACGATTTATCCGAATGACCGTAGTGGTTTCGAATTTTTCGGGTCAGCGTTTTTAAACCAGCAAAGTTCCTTCACAAATTTCTTACGGTTAATTTCGTTAATAGCGCGGAATGTTGGCGGTAGTTTCCAGGACTATTACTAAGGGACGGTGATCGACGGGGCGATGATCACGGAGTAAAAATGATTTTTGCCCCTACGCGGAACGCTTTAATGCCTCGAAAGTATGATGTTGCGGAGCGCCGCGAGGTGTGTGGCCAGCTTAATGTCGGAGTACGGTCTTGCTCATTACGCTCGGAAACTCGCACGGCGGGATTGAACGGCTACTTCGGCTTTTTCCCTCTCTACGAATCAGAAGATCGCGCGTGATCGTCGCCTCGAGCGAAGGGACCGAGAAAGTGCACCGACGCAACGTGGAGTGCATTTGCTAAGGTCAGGGCTCGAGTCATCGAGTGCGCCCGTTGCATCGAGATTGCGGATTTCCAGGTCGAATTCCTCGGGAATTCCGCGTTCCACGAATTCCCCGCGTACGGAAAAAAATATACATTTACATTGACAGCAGTAAACGATATTGCCGACAAAGTCTCGCTCCCCCCCTACCGGCTGCACTAATGGGGTAAATGCAAGCGTATCGAACGTGGATGCAACCGCGGGGAGCATTCATTAGAGATAACGAAATTTCTTTAAACTTCCCCGTGGCAAGAGCGAAATTTCTTGTGAATTTCATCGCGGAAAAATGAAATTACGAAATTATAAATGAACATATGAGATGAGTTTGCGAGTTTATCGTGGCAAGTGAAATTTTGCATGAAAACTGTGAATAATTTTTCCGAGGGTTGGCGCGGAAAATAGCAAGTTGAAATGGTGCATTTCGCGTGAATTCGTGTACGTTCAAAGGTTGATAAGTGACGAGGTGAAAAAATCGAGGGAAAGGGAGAATGGTTATATTTGCGTATGCGGTAAGGTAGGTACGGAGGGCAACGAGTGCACTCGACGTGCGGCTTTCTTTGAGCGCCGGTAAGACTCTTTAAACGCCACGAGCGCCTGCCCGGCGTTACTTGTAATAGAAACTAGAATGGCTACGAGATTACAAGGGAATGCAATTTCGTCCGACAGTCTTACAACGACAGGTTTGCGAAAGACCGTCCAACCGATCGTAATGCGATTCCGAGAGGGCTTCCTCGGCTCTACAAGCGAAATCGTACAAATGTACGCGTCGTTTAAGGGATTTCTGGCGTAACTCGAATTCGATGCAACTACCAAGCGGATGACTTTGCGAGTCGTTCGATCTACGTACATTCTAAAGAACGTAATAAAAGCCGGATGCCCGGCCGTTACGGGGCAAATAGAAAATTTAAATTATCGCGATCACTTAAATTCACTCAAAATGAAACTAAATAAAGATTTCCCGATTAACCGCCACTCTGAAAATTCCAAAACCATTAAACATTGCTAATATTTTTATCTTTAAAGCCCCCCCGCAAGTTACTATAAACATCCATTACGCTGTAATCAAAGTTGGGGTTCGGCCCGGTTTAACCGGAATTCCTGGAGTAGTCGAATTTCGGTGAATTTCGGTGAATTTCGTTGAAACGAGAGACGCGAGATTTTCGAAGCGCGCGGCTCCAGGGAAAACGGCTCCAGGGCGGTGGCCATTGGTCGGTCGGCGCGGATCCAGGGGGGAAGGCCGACCGGTCCTCGCGAGAGTCGGCGAAACGCACGGAAAATTCAATAAGCCAGAAAACTGGTCGCAATTAGCGGAAAGTGGGCCACCGAATTTGGGGCTTTAATTCATGGGGAGAAAGGGGGAAGGATTCGGCACCGGAAGACGGAAAGCGAAATCCCCCCTTTCCGGAAAAAAACCGCGTTTACTTCCGCCCGATTTTTCGACGCGTCCTGAAAATTCGAGACTCCGAGAGTACCCGCAATTAAAGCGCGGAAAAATTCCGCCGTCTCGCGGGGCATTAAAATCGACTCGGTTTACCCGCGACTCGGAAGTGTCCAAATTCACTCCAATTTCGTCGCCGTGAAGCTGGGTTACCGCGGTGATTACTTCGTTACCGTGAGCTTTTTTAACTCGGGTGAACGTGTACGGAGGTTTTAGACGTGTACATACCGCACGTGTGTACAGGGCAAGTCTAATAAAAACTAGGATTTAGTGCCCGAAGGTGCGCGTATTTTTTAATGAACTCAAATCAAGGTACTGTCTCCCGGTGCCCGAGTGCTCCACTCCGAATGGAGTAAAGAAATTTTCATAAATTTGTACGGGGCCGATGAAAGCGTCATTAATTCCCCTCTAAAAATGGTGATATTAACATTTACCGAAAATAGCGGTCAAAGGTACTCCACTTTAAATGGAGCAAGTATAAGTACGCCATACTCGTATGCCGTACGAGCGAGATGTCGCGAACCGCGAAAACTCGCCTTACCGTTTCCTCGATGCGAATTTGAGGACCGCCTTGCTGCAAATATTATAGCGAGCGGGGAAGTAATTAGAAAAATTAGCGTCGGGACCTCGAGTGGCGCACCCCTTTCCAGTTTTCTCGCCCTTAATTCCGTCGGTTACGGCCACGTGGAATCATGGGACGAGGAGGGATGCCGGGTTTATGCCGACCTCCGGCATATGCGGAAGATTAGGCCGAGATAAATTAGAGGGGGGCCCGGGAGCCCTCGTAAAATCGGGTCTCGCGGATCGGCCGGCGATTCCTAGGGAAATCTAGGGACTCCGCGGCCCCGACCGATCACGTTGGATTAGGATCCGTTAATGACCGGACAAAGACGCTGGTCGGAATTCGATACGGGATTAAGAGCGCGCATGGAAACGCACGGCGAGCGGGATGCGTCTCCTACGGCCGACTCGAATTGCAAATTGGGTATTAGGGATGAATTTAAATAGCCCGGATTAGTTGTTAACGCTCTTCTCCGTCGTCGATGTTGGCGCTATAAACCTGTCGCCGAACCCGCCCT